CTTACCCCTGCAGCTGCTGGGCTGCCCCCTCATCCCATCAGTCTCTCCTGCAGGGGCAGTGTAGCCTCAGTGAAGTCAAGCCCTGCATGCCCAGCTTCTTGAACCTCAGTCATCTATGGGCACGGGGAAGGACAGAGAGTTGCTGTTGGTGCCTAAGGCAAGGGTGAAAGAAGAGGACGCCAGAGGAAGGAGGAGGAGAAAAAGGTGGCTCAGTGTCCCCATGGTGGCTTTTATCCTGCACCTGGCCCCATCTCCCTCCCCAGAGAAGTTGCTCGGAGTGCAAGTCGGGTATTGGGCAGTGTGAGGTTGGAGCTTGGAATGGTTGAAGCCTGGAATGACTAGATGTGTTCCTGTGGTTACCCGTGCCGCGGGCCCTAGGAAAGAGGCCATGGGTGGGAGAATGGGGTTCAGCATTCTTAGCTGTAACTGTTCCCACGTCTGTTTCTGAAATAGACCAGGGGTGAGAGGCCAGAGGAAAGGGAGAGAATTTTTCCCTTTGCTGATGCTGTGCTGAAGGGCTTCCTGTGGAAGCTGGGGTGGGGGTGGTGGCCCTGAGGGTAGGAAGGGCTCAGGCAGTAAATGCAGAGTGGAGGCTGCCACTTAGGAGAGTGTGGGCCAGTGAGGTGAGCAGCTGTATTTTTGCAGGAGACAAGAGGCAGAGATGTGGTGGGCTCAGGTTCAGAGGAAGCCCAGCTCTTCCTTTTGCCCCAGGCCAAGGTCTCCTTGGCCCCTTCCCTCCCTCCTTCTCTGAGCCTACTGCTGTCCAGTCTTGGGCACTTTCTTCTCTGGGGTTCTTTGGCCTCCAAACACTTGCAGGCACCTTTGACCCTCACACCTCCTCACCCCTTTGAGAGTGGCCTGGCTCGGGTCTTCCTCTGCCCGTCTCTTGAGCTCCAAGCCTCCCTTCTCAACCCCCCACAAAACCTGTGATAGAACTTTTCAGAAGAGTGGTTGCTGCTGTGTGCTGTGGTGGTGGAGGAGGGTGGTGGAAGGGAATATGGCATGGGAGGGGCCGGGGGAACTTGCTGGAACATTGACATTCACCTGCATCTTCATTCAGGTAGTGGTTATACAGGTGTAGAGAAACGTACATTCTGAATTCCAGATGAGTGCATTTTTCTTTTCTTTTTTTTGAGTTGGAGTCTCATGCTGGTGCCCAGGCTGGAGTGTAGTGTCACATTCACGGCCACCCCAGTGTTGACCTGCTGAGCTCCGGTGATCCTTCTGCCTCAGCCTTCCAAGTAGCTGGAACTACAGGTTCACACTATCACACCCAGCTAATTTTTTATTGTAGAGACGAGGTCTCACCAATTTGCCCAGGCTGGTCTCAAATTCGTGGGTTCAGGCAATCCACTCACCTCAGCCTCCCAAAGTGCTGGGATTATAGGCTGAGCCACTGAGTCAGGCCTGTGTGCATTTTCCTTTCTCTCTCTTTTTATTTTTGAGTCAGAGTCTCACCCTGTCGCCCAGTCTGGAGTGCAGTGGCACACTTTGACCTGCTGGGTTCAGACAATCCTTCCGCCTCAACCTTCCAAGTAGCTGAAACTATAGGTGAGCACCACCATGCCTGGCTAATTTTTCTTAATTTATTGTAGAGATGAGGTCTTGCCAAGTCGCCCAGGCTATTCTTGAACCCCTGAGCTCAGGCAATCCTCTCGCCTTTACCTCCCAAAATGCTAGAATTACAACCAGCTAATTTTTTACTTATTATAGAGATGAAGTCTTGCCAAGTTGCCCAGGTGGTCTCCAACCTCTGGACTCTCACTTCCGTCTCCCAAAGTGGTGGGATTACAGTCATCAGCCACCACGCCCAGCTGCATTTTTCTACACTTAAATTATAATCCAATCCCTTTTTTTTTTTTTTTTTTTGATTTGGAGTCTCACTCTGTCGCCCAGACTGGAGTGCAGTGGCCGCTCCCAGCCACTGCAGCCTCCACCCACTGGACTCCGGCGATCCTTCCGCCTCAGCCTTCCGAGTAGCCGGAATTCCAGGCATGCGCTATCATGCCCGGCTGATTTTTTGATTTATTGTAGAGATGAGGTCTCGCCAAGTTGCCCAGGTGGGTTTCGAACCCGCGGGCTCAGGCAATCCACTCACCTCAGCCTCCCAAAGTGCGGGATTACAGGCTGAGCCACCAAGCCCGGCTTTTTAAAAATTAATTAATTTTTTTGAGTTGGAGTCTCACTTTGTCACCCAGACTGGAGTGCAGTGGCCGCTCCCAGCCACCGTAGCCTCGACCTGCTGGGCTCCGGCGATCCTTCTGCCTCAGCCTTCCAAGTAGCTGGAACTATAGGCGCGCTACCACGCCGGCTAATTTTTCTTTATTTATTGTAGAGATGAGGTCTCGCCAAGTTGCCCAGGCGGGTCTCGAACCCACGGGCTCAGGCAATCCACTCACCTCAGCCTCCTAAAGGCACGGGATTACAGGCTGAGCCACCGAGCCCGGCTCAGGATGGATAATTTGCTTGCCTGAATCTTTCCCTTGATAGGCTACGAGCCCCTGGAGTCAAGTGACTCACATCTCGTGTTTGAAATGTTTAGGTTAGGTACAGTGACTCACGCCTGTAATCCCAGTACTTTGGGAGGCTGTGGCGAGAGGATTGCCCAAGTTCAGGGGTTCAAGACCCGCCTGGGCAACTTGTCGGGACCTTGTCTCTACAATAAACCAAAAAATTAGCTGGGTGTGATGGCAGGCACCTGTGGTTCCAGCTACTTGGAAGTCTGAGGTGGAAGGATTGCCTGAACCCAGCAGGTCGAGGCTGCGGTGGTCATGAGTGTGCCACTGCACTCCAGTCAGGGTGACAGAGTGAGACTCCAACTCAAAAAAAAAAAAAAAGAAAGAAATGTACAGTTACCATTACTGAGCACTTATGTGGTACCCGGTACTTTATGGGCTAAAAGTGTTAAATGGGCATCGTGGCCAGGCACAGTGACTCACGCCTGTCATCCCACCACTTTGGAAGGCCGAGGTGGGAGGATCACTTGAGTCCAGGATCATTTGAACCCAACATAGTGAGACACCTCCGCTTGTTTAAAATAAAGAAATGAAATGCACAAATAAACTAACCAGAAGCTAGTGAAAGTGATGGGCAGGAGCAGGGTAGGGCGCCAGGGACAGGATGATTCTAATTATAGTTCTTTATATGGCTTGACTTTTGCATATGCAAGCATCTTACACATCCAAAAACCAAAATTAAGCCAAAAAGAGGGCAGGGAGAGAAGCATTAGCTCATTATTATTGAAGTAACCACAAGAATCACTTTGAGTTATGTCTGGACAAGGTACTCTGACAATATATCCTTAGTGAGAGATACTCTAAGGACCAAAAAAAAAAAAAAACCTAAAAAACTTATTTACTCAGGTGTATTTCCAGTAGTCATATTAAAACTGTTATTTTGAAACTTACATGTACCTCAGGATATGGCAAGTAAGTATACACTGTTATGAGGAACAATAATTTTCACTGTAAAAGACATTTTTAAGTAGAAAAACAAGGGGAAAAAGATGAACTGGTTGTAATTTCCCTCCAGGCCCATCGTTGGTCACTTTAGACTTACTGGCTGATGTCAGGCCAGAAAGTCCTGAGGAGGGGAGGTAGGGGCTGAGGGCTCTTGGCTGCACTTCCCCCAGCACCAGCCAAGTGTGGGTGGGTGAATTGGCACTTCACGGGTGGACCAACTGACCACTGACCTCCCATTATCACCCTACCTGAAGCTTGAGCTCTGCTTACCACCTGTAGTTCCAGGGCCAACTAGCATTTCCTGGCTTTAGGTAACACCCTGATACCTGATGGCTGTAAATAGGATTCACCTTTAACTATACCTCAAACATGGCAGCTAGCTGGAGACCCTCTACCAGGCCCACGAACCTGTGGAGTCACAGGGTCTTCAAAGGCCAGCACTGGAAGGGTCCTTGAGCCATGTCCAGGATTTTAAAATGCCCAAGAACCTCCCAGTGCCCTCTACCCCTTCTCCAGGTGATCTACCAGTCTGGAGACGTCGCTTTATCTCTGGTTTAGGGTTGTGGCAATAATGGCTATTGGATTAAGGAAAAGTAGCAAAGTAAACCGTGTTGGGTAAATCCCGACTGGCAGACACAGCCTTCACAAGCTGGTAAGGCAAAAGCAGTGAGACTGGGGGCTGTTCCTTACCGGTCTTGATTGAAGGACCTCCCCCAGTGCCACCTGGGGCCTTGTCAACACTGAAACTTGAGGATCCACCCTCACAGAGCTCGGCAATCATCAGGTGAGAGGTTAGAAGCGTCAACTTTGGGGCAAGATGCCCTGGGTTAAAATCCTGACCCTAGGCATGGTGGCTCACACTTACAATCCCAGCACTTTGGGAGGCCAAGGTGAGAGGACTGCCTGAGTCCATGGGTTCGAGACCAACCTGGGCAACTTGGTGAGACCTCATCTCTACAATAAATCAAAAAATTAGCTGGGCATGGTGGCGCATGCTGGTAGTTCCAGCTAGTTGGGAGGCTGAGGCGGAAGGATTGTCTGAGTCCAGTAGGTTGAGGCTGCGGAGGCCACTGCAGCGTGTCACTGCACGCGACAGAGACTCCAACTCAAAAAAAAAAAAAATCCTGACCCTGCCACCAGAGTTGTGATCTTGGGCAAGTTACATTACCCTGGACTGTTTCCTGTCCAAAGGTAGGGCTATTACTGGGACCCAACTCACACAATTTTTGTGGGGATAAAGTCATGTTGTGAAGAGCTTTGGGGGCCCTGCTTCTCAAAGTGGGGTCCTGGGCTATCAGCACCACCCAGAGTGCTGGGAGGCACTCTCGGCCCCACCCCCAGACCTTCTGCATAAGACTCCAAGGTGGCTCATGGACACACCAGTCACCGCCCAATGTCAAACGATGAAAACAGTCCCAGCCACACCTGCCTCTGAGGTGGAGTCTTATCCCCGGTGACTCCCACTGGTCCTGGTTAGACCCCTTGTGGGTCTGCTGGGGAGAAACCCCAAGGCAAAGAGGTGGACAGGGGGCTGCCCCATCACTTTATCCTTTTCTACTTTATTACTTCAAATTAACAACCACAATAAAGCTCAAAAAAGTCCAATATTTACACAGGAAAAAAGTACAAAATTCCCCCCAAAGTTCTTCAGTATTTTTTTTTCAGTTTTTTAAATTACAAAGTAATAAAAAGCTTTGCTCCGTAATTAAAAAAAAAGAAAAAAAGAAAAAAAGGGGAAACAGAGGTAAATAAATTAGGAAACACACACGGAGAAAACAAACAAAAATAAAATAAAAACGAAAACAGGTGTTAACTAGGAAGGACGGGCAAATCCAACACCCAGCCCTGACCCCAGGCTCCTCCTCAGAAAGGCGAACCCAGGGAGACAGGGGACCCCGGGGGACTGTCAGGACCAGGGAAGTAATTCATAACCCAGAGCCAGATGCTTCCTGGAAGTAGTCGCCATGGATTCTGCCCTAAGACCAGGAACGGAAGATGGGGCTGCCCCTGGCTGATGACAGTCGTGGGGGGATCTGTGGTGGCAGGACCCTCTGTGCCCTGACAGATGTGGAGGTCACTGCCCACTGCCATGTCCTTGCTAGGAGACATGGGAGAACAGACATTCGGCCTGGCAGATGGGGCAGGGCACAACATCTGCTGGCCCTGGGAAAGAGGTCACATACATCCACACGCACACAGGGATCTCGGCCCACCACCACTCGAGGTCTCCAGAAAGGAAGAGGAGGGAGACACTCAGAAAGGCCGCCACAGAAAGTTGGCCACTGCCTTTTCAGAGGGGGTAGGGCTGTGCGTCTCCTCGGTTCTGGGGCTCAGGAAACTGGTGGGACCTGCCTTTGGCTGACCACACCTCTCCCCGGCGTGAGCTCCTCAGGCCGCCTGGACTGGCGCATGAGGACCAGCTCCATCTCCAACACTGACATGCTTGCTCCTCTCCCAACAGGTGGCAGGTGGTGGCAGAACAGGTGGTTGGGGCAGGGCCCTGGCATCTGGCTCTGAAGTCCGGCATCATGGGGGGACACTTGGCAGCCTGAAGATTGGGGGCAGCAGACAATGCAAGGGGGCAAGAATCCTCAGAGCTGAGGGCATCCCATCTTCTTGCCGTTGGCAAAGGAAATCAAAGAAACAAAATCCATCGTCGGTTTTGTGCTGGGTGTTTTTTGTTCTTTTGAGTGGTTTTTTTCCCCCATCTTTTTTGTTTTTTGTTTTTAAAAGAAAATACAGTGAAGACACTAGAAGGAGGAAGAGAGAGGACAGGTTAGTGCAGAGCTACCTCTGGCTATGCGTCTGCCAGCCCCTCCTTCCCTTCTCCCGTCTTCTTGCCCCTCAGTCTGTCCCGCTCCGAGCCCCAGGACTGGCTCACGGCCAAGCACACAGTAGGTGCTCCATTTCCACATGAAGGAGACAGATTCCACTGTCCCCATCTGCCAGATTCCATCATGGACCCATGAAAATAAGCTCTGCGTTTATGCTCTTGCTCTCTGTGTGGATGGACTTATACAAAGCTAATCATACTGTTTGCCCTGGGGTGAGGCCCACCCTTCCGACATCTAAACTACTGCCCACCAATGTACACATATTCCCCAGGGAGCTCAGATCATGCCAACACACTCAAAGAACCCACTGCCACCTCCCCTTGCCCAAGCCAGGCCCCAGAATGGACAGTGACCATTCACCGCCTCAAGGCCTCATGTAGCCAGGGAGGAACCACATAGACTCACACTGGCCAGGGGCCTCTCCTAGCCCTACAGAGGCAAAAAAAGGCCCCCTCCCCCCCGCCCT